GAGTGAGCCACGGGCCGGCCCTAGGCCATCCTTTTCTAAGTACTCATTTGTGTGATACCAGATTTTTTTCAAATACTTTAAGTTCAAACACCACATCACAACAGACTGGACACAGAAGCGGCTGTAAGAGTCCAGATGGCTGGTAAAAGATCTGAAGAACTGTAAAACAATGCTATTCTACTTTTTGTTCTGGACAATTATTTTTCATGAAGCTTTTAATGTGCAATGTATTATTATTTTTAAACAAGTGAATATATTTTTATTTTCTAGTTTTTGATAGATACAATCCCACATAAACAAAAGCTCTTGAGAGTTATGTAAAGGGGTCCTGAGATGACAACATTTTATTTACCTCAAGAAATTTAAGTCTATGGAAATCCTCTGGGCAAATTCCAGGCATCTATAATGGGAAGTTACACTGAAGGAAGAAGGGTATAATGGTAGCAACTTCCAGGAGCTCTCCCTTCTTTCTGCAGAGCCTCAGTGACCCTGTTTGAACAAGCCTGACTGTTCTGATCTTGTCCATATCTGTACTTTTCTGTTGCCAAGATGTGATTGGTTTTACTACCCTCTGTAACCCTCATGCTAAAAGGGCTCAGTCAGTGTGTCCTGAGTGGTTGTTTGCTGCTCAGTGTCTTGGTCTCCTAGCTGCACAGAAGCAGCCTGCTGTTAGCAGACCAAACTCAGGNCACACCAGTCAGCTGCAAAAAAAGAAAAAGCCCTTCTTAGCCCAAAGGCAACGCAAACCACCAGTCTTAGATTACACCCTTCCATATTTTGTAACATGTGCATGCATTACCAATTCACAAAACCCCCCAAATCCTTATGTTCCTGAAAGTAATTCCTGTTGACTTTTCTCTTCAATACTATGGATGACCAAGTATCATTATCAGTACCTTACTTGACCTGGGAAATCTTGATTTATTTGTCTTGCCAGTGTGATCCAGCCACTCACCCTAACTCCTCACTGACTTGAGGTATCCGTGGTTAATCAGAGGTAGGGCTTGTGGCCACTCAGAATTAACCACATTTATTCACACCAGAACTGGAAAATTCAAACGGGCAGGCTAATTAGCAAGCTAGTATATCTGAAGTTACACTGAAGGAAGAAGGGTATAATGGTAGCAACTTCCAGGAGCTCTCCCTTCTTTCTGCAGAGCCTCAGTGACCCTGTTTGAACAAGCCTGACTGTTCTGATCTTGTCCATATCTGTACTTTTCTGTTGCCAAGATGTGATTGGTTTTACTACCCTCTGTAACCCTCATGCTAAAAGGGCTCAGTCAGTGTGTCCTGAGTGGTTGTTTGCTGCTCAGTGTCTTGGTCTCCTAGCTGCACAGAAGCAGCCTGCTGTTAGCAGACCAAACTCAGGGGCGCCCAAGACGGGTTATCAGTGAGTCATGCAACATCAGGCACAGCAGTCACTTCTCGCTCCACAGCCACACTTGCAGTGGTACTCAGGGGTTTCTGAGTAACAAATGAGCTAACACAGGTGAATTCAATATATGGCAAAAGCCTATTCACACACAGTGTTAGCACTCCCAAAATGTGAATTAGAATTTCTCAGAAAATTAAAAAGCTGATCTCCTCCACTATGTGAACCCATGCCCCCTTCCCTTCTGCTTTAGCATGCACACACGGTGATGGAGGATGCCTGCACCCTGGCATGTGTTCCTGCAGACAAACCCCTTGTTGCAGTCATTCTTGAGAAAACATCCCCCACACCCAGGGATGTGATTCACATCGTGGGCACATTATGACATGGCTGCCTTCAGCCGAGCTGCCTTCGGCTTCTTCAGCTGCTGAGAGCTCAGCCCACACCACCTAAGACTGCTGATCACTTTATTTTTTTTATTTAATTTTTTTTATTAAAAGATGACTAGTAAGGGGATCTTAACCCTTGACTTGGTGTTGTCAGCAACACGCTCACCCAGTTAGCTAACCTGCCATCCCTATATGGGATCCGAACCCGTGGCCTTGCTGTTATCAGCACCACACTAACCCGAGTGAGCCACAGGCCGGCCCTGCTGACCACTTTAAAACGCCTAAAGAAATCCAAGACTATTTTAAAATATTTTTAAGTGAAAACAACCATCTCATCTGAGACTTAATGAAATCTCCAACAATACTGGGCACCTAATTGACAGATACCGAACCAGGCATATGACCTAGTATTCATTTAACCCTATACCCCACCCAGGCTCATAAATTTAGTAATCTGCCCAAGGATCAAAAGGAGCCATGATTTGAGCTCAGGCCTGTAGTCCTCACCAGCTGTACCCCAGAAAGGTCCTCAGAGATTTATTGAACAGGCTCCTTTTGTAAGAGGAGACCCATTTTTATGGAGGCCCAAAAGGTGCAATGATTTTTTAAGGTCACTAAACCCAGGTCTGATTCCCAGATGTAGGCGCTTTCCAGTAGCATATACTGTCTTACCCCTCCCCACATTCCAACCTGATTCCTTCAGTGGGGGAGGGGGAGAGAACATCCAATCAAATGTTCGAAAGCAAACAAACTCAGTAAATGAAACTAGGTAGCACTGACATCAGATCTGTAAGTTTATTTGCTCAATGTACGACAGCTACATGATGACTCACATTCATGATATTCCATCACTGAGGAAAACTGCTAAGAATGGTCCGTGTGTGAAATAATTCCTTAGAGAAACACGGAGCTGGAAAAATAATCACTGATTAGACCTTAAAAATAGTTCACTGCATAACATGACAAAAAGCACAAAGGCTCATTCAGAGAACATACTCATTGTTCTCCTACACTGTAATAGTTATAATTTCACCATGACAAACACCAGACATTAAGATTAAGCTAACACTGGTGTTTCTTTTGCCCACCCCCCCAAAAAAAAACCCCAAAAATATAACTGCATGTCACTATAGCAACATCCAAAACAGATCAATTTGTTACGATCACTATTTGGTAGAGCAAACTTTACCCCCAAAAGGAAAAATTAAATTAAAAAAACTTTAAAAAATTTGAAGACTTAATTTTTTTGTCATAGGAATACATAACACCTACAGTATAAGTTAATAAATTTCAAGCTACTGTATAGAAATACAACACTAGCATGCACAATATTGTATCAATAGAGTAATGGAGGAGTAATCATTTCACTGGAAAGACAGTATCATAGGCAAGTGCATTTCTTTAAAAATAAAGAAAAGAAAAGGAACCATTCAAGCTGCTTAAATATCAGGTCTCTCATTCCTCTTCATTCTTAGCCCTCAGGTATAATTTTACCTTGCATTATTCTAAAAAGCAGCCAGAGCCAAAGCTGAAATTTAAATGAAAAATAGGTTTTGTAATTCCAGTAAATCATTTCCAAATGCTACAAGAAAGGACACAACACTGCTCACTGGACATGAAATTAGGGAAAGCCCCACCTACCCCCCCCCCCCAAA